ATACAAAACCCTATTCGTACCGGGTGCTGTACAACATGGTGACGTCATGAAGCTCGTGGCGGCGGCGGGCCGGTCTGTGCTGGATAACCGGCCGCCGTCGCCGCCGCCGGCGGTGACGGCGGCGGCGTCTCTGACGTCGCTGCCGCTGCGCCGGGGCAGCTCTGTATCGGGGGCCGCGAGCGTCTCATGCCCTGGCAGCGTCGCCGCCACCGCCGCGTCCTTCGCCTGTGCTGACGGTGGCGGCGGCGGCGGACGATCCTTTTCTGGCGGCGGCTCCCCTCGCGGCGGCTCCCGTCCCTCCTCCCGGAACCCCTCGTTCAGTACCAGTAGGGAGACATCCCCGAACCGAGAACCCCTGCCGTACATGCCGTACATGCTTCACAACAAGCTATCCCCTTTGCACCCTCACCCACAACTACAGCCGCAGCTACAGCCACACAACCAGCAACAGCCACAGACTGTGACGATGACGATTACGACTGTACTGCCGCACCCGCTGATGCAGACGCCGCCGCCGCCGCAGCAGCAGCGGCAGCAGCAATATCAGCAGCAGCAATATCAGCAGCAGCAATATCAGCAGCAGCAATATCAGCAGCAGCAATATCAGCAGCAGCAATATCAGCAGCAGCACGTCACAACGGTTGTAGCTCAACCGGTGGCGCTACCGCGGACGAGGATGAGGGTCCCAAGTCCAGGGATGGCCCGGGAGCTGGGTCTGGAGGTGCCGCCGCCGCTGCCGAACCTTCAGGTAAGTTGTACGGCAATGTACGACACATGTCGTACTTGGAAAGTGGCCGTGTGAAATGTATCAACAAGAAGAATTTGCGCTCCCCCGGGTTACCGTGTCCTACTGGCGGGGGTCCGGACAAGTCCTATAAAGCGGTTTTATATCTTATTGTTATGCCTTTAAAGCGCTTCTATCACATTTTTTTCAGCGTTACCTCTGTGCCTGTGTGTATGTATGTCTTTTATATGTGCTCTTTTCACGCTGTCATGGTAGTAGTGTGCCTTGCGCCATGTTCCATTTTGAAAGACATGTGCCATCCGCGCCTTGTCGTGTTTCCTTTTGATCACATGTAGTACACAGCTCGTACACAGCAGTCGTCTCTGTTCTTCCGCCGTACACCTCACGTGTCGACCTCAAGTTGTTAGGGTTTTCCCGCCGCTTCTTAGAATCCCTCCAATTCCCCACACGTAACCACACTCCTCCCGCTGCAGGCCTCCTCCTCCTCAGCATTGGAGGGCACGGGCCGGGTGAGTGCTCTGGCTCAGCTGCCCGACCCCTCGGGTGCGAAGTCGCGAAACGGAAAGCCGCGAGCGCCGGAACGGACGCAGCTGGGGCTCCCCTTTGCCGGCAATGTGGCGATGTTGGTGCTGGAGAACCACTCGGATCTGATCAAGGTGAGCATGCCTTGACTCCGACCCATGGGTCAGTGGGTGACGGGGCCCTGACCCATGGGTCAGTGGGTGGGTCAGTCGCTGGGGTTCGCGGGTGGCGTTTTGATGCTGTAGTAACATTAATTACTGTTAAAATATTGGGAGTTGGCCCTAATGGGCGTCTCTGAGGAGGTGGGGGCGGGCGTGGTAGTTGGCAGTGTAACTGCCTCGCGCTTTACTCCCAACACGGCTTTTGTACCTTGGCCTTTTTGCTTGTACTCTGTTCCCTGGCCCTCCGCCCTCGGAGCGTCAAAATTGGGCAGCCAGGCGGCTAATCTACATCTGTAGGGGCATGTGCGTTACAAATCTGCTTTTCAGATGAAAGAAAAGCCTTGGTGGAAGGAAAAAATATTTTATGACCCGTGGGTCTGTGTGTGCGGTTCTCGTGCAGGTTGTGGCGCCGTACCCCACCAGCCTTGACTGCGTGGCGACCCTGCGCCAGGCCATGAATCTGCCAGCTGACCTGTCGTACTGCGATGACGACGGGCAGTGCGTGGATGGGTCTCACGGGGGAGCTGCGGCTTTTGAGAGGTCGTACGGGGTGTACGACGAGCGGGCTGGGCACCGTGTGATGGTATTTTCGGCGGAGCCAAAGGCCGTCGCCGGCGCCGGCGCCGCCACGCCAGATTCCTCCGGCGGCTGCAGCTCCTCGTCGCCGTCGGCGCCGTCCTGCTCCGATACCAGCGCCGTCGGACCCGAAACGCCACCTCAGGCTGGCGAGAGCTCGTCGTACACTGGCAGCGCGGCCAGCGCTGGCGTGCAGGCATCGGGCACTGCAGGTGCTGCCGGCTTAGTCGATGCAGAAGCGGCGGCGGTGGCGGCGGAGACGGCCGCCAAAGGCGGCGGGACAGGGGACGGGGCTTACAGCCTTGACTCATCGGCAGTTTGTACTGCTGACGGTGGTATCGAGTCCAAGAATTCGTTGACGCCCTTCTCGTCCATGCCATTAGCCTTGACGGTAATTGACTCGGATCTGTACGTCCATCCCCGAAGTACCGGCGGCGGTGGCAGCGGCGACGACGACGAACCTGGCAGCAACCCCCGCAGCGGCGGCAAAGGTAATAGCGCTGGCGGCGGCGGCAGCGCTGGTGGCGACGGCGAACGGCCATTGCGCGCGCAGGCTTCTACCTTCCTGTCGGCGGCTCAACAAAGCCCCGCGACGTGCGTTGAGCCGCTGACGCTGGCGGCGTCGCAATCTGTACTGCAGTTGCAGCACTCCGTGACGTCTTTGGGCGGCGGCGTAGCCGCTGCCGCTGCTGCCGCTGCCGCCGCCGCCGGCAGCGGGTACGGTAACAGCGCAGCCGCTACACCAGCAACGGCCACTTCGCCACAGCTGCAGACGTTGCCGTCGGCTCGCAACGCCGCGGCGATGCTCAGCGCCTCGGCTATCCCACTCGCCGCCGGGCAGCTTCACGTGCCGCTGGCAAGCGTGTATCGGCGGATGGCGCCGGCGCCGGGGGCGAGCGGCACCGCGGGCGCCATGCCCACGCCCGTGCTCGCAGCGACCGCGGTTTTACAGGTTCGTACAGGGTCAACATCATTTGAATAAGTATGTGTAGGCAACGCTACCGGATGTCAGTTCCGAATGCGTTGTGAGGATTTGGAGGATTTGGACTTTGTTTAAATTTTTTTAAAATTTTCATTCATTATGATATTGTTGTGGCTGTCCATGTGGCGGTTTGCTACAGCGGCCGCCTTTGGACTCAGCAGCAAAGCAATGAGTTGTTGTGGGAACCGGCAAACGATAACTACTTGACTTGAAGACATTTCTTTTTGATATTCTTTTACTGCTGTAGTGCTTTTCATTATCTTAATTGCTTTTTATAATAATATAATAATAAAAGTATTATATTATTATTTATCATTATTATTTTTTTGTTGTACAATCTGCACGTAAAAGGCCCATAATTGAAGTACACGTGCACGCGAAACCTCCCAACCCGCAGCCTGCCGTCTCTGCGGAAACTGCCAAGCTGTGCTCCAGCCGCTTGGCCACTATTATGTCTTCAGGCCCGTTGGTGGAGGCGGCGGAGGCCGCTGCCGGCATCATGGGCGGCGGCGGCGTCACAGAAGCCGCCGCCGCCGTCAGCAGTGCCGCCAGCGCCCGGGCCTCGTCCCCTGGACCGCCTGCTTCCGCGTCTTCTCTGCCCCCGTCGACGTCGTCGTCGTACACGCGTGATTGGGGAACGCAGATCCTTCGAATGGACCGCAGCGGGAGCCCGCTGGCGCTTTATGGCGGTGCGGCGGAGGTGGCGGCGGCGGCGGGAGGTCCATTGCGGTCGCCGGTGGCGGCGGCGACGGCATCGACGGCGAGTCATGACAGTGTCGTGATCTTGCCACGAATGGTGTTGTACGAGACGGCGTTGCTGGACGCAACTGCTGCTGTTGGCGGCGGCGGTGGTGGCGGCGTCAATGGCAACGGAGGCGGCAGCGGGCCGGGGTCGCCACACGGCAATGTACGACTGGCATCTCTGGGCGCCGCTGCGGCGTCCGCCGCCGCCGCCGCGGCATCTGCAACAGTGAGTCGAGCGGTTTGGGCCCTTAAGTACCGGCGGAAAGCTCAAACCAATAGTTCTCGTCATATAGCTGTCGTACAGACATCGTGCAAATGTCGTACATCGTTTAAAGGCAAGTAGTGGATCCTATGCCTAACTTCCAAACGAGCTACCCAGAGCAACACCAACACCAACACACAAAGAGCGCTCAAGATAAGATGTCTTTTCATGAATATGGAGAGAAGTCGTTCCCATGTCCATACAACTTCTGACGACCACCTCCCCCCCATCCCCTCCCCCTCCTTTTCAAGGTTCCGTTAAGTACGGCTTCTGGGGGATATTCGACATACATACTGCCGGCACTGCCCAGCAACGTCGGTACCTCCGCCGCCGCATCGGCAGCGTCTGGCGCCGCTACCCCGGGTAGTTCAACCCCCGCCCCACAAACCCCCCGCCTCCGACCACCACCACGGATGCTGCGCTCCGTGGACGCAGCGCTGCCGTACCAGTACGGCGGCTCGCGGGAGCTACTAGGATATTTATCCCCGGGGACTAGGTTCGGAACGGAGCCGGAGGACGCCGGTATGGTTTTCACCGGCGGCATCGGCGGCCGTCCCGTACGGTACGGCAGCGTTGGTCCCGGGGGCCAGCGGCGGCAGGGCAGTGGCGGTGGCGGCGGCGGTGGAGGGATTATGGGCAGCGCCGCCACTGCCGCCGCCGCTGCGCGGCGGCTTGGCGGAGTGTCACTACGGGAGCTCGCGGGCGTAAACGGAATTTTTGACGACGGAAGCCGCGGTTTCGGAGCCGCCGGTCGCAACGGCGGCCCGCATAAGCCCCCTGAGGGTCCGGAACTGCCCTTGGAGGTGGGTGATCTTGAGCTTGAGCTTGAGCTTGAGCTTGAGCTTGAGCTTGAGCTTGAGCTTGAGCTTGAGCTTGAGCTTGAGCTTGAGCTTGATTTTGGTCGTGGTCTTGACTTTGTTGCCTGGATCACACCACCCTCCCTCGTCCGCATCCGCAATGCTGACTGTTTATGCGGACATGCGGACATTTTAGTTGCAACTAACTTCACTCTTCTTTTACTCCTGGCGGACCCCTAGCCCTAAGTCTTTGGCGCATTGGATATGTGCGTGTGGGTGTGTCTGTGGGGGTGGTGGTGAGGAGGAGGTAGACATGGTAGAGACCCGAAGACCTCTTGGACAAAAGGCCGCAGCTTCGCCCTGCCTGCTTCACCTGCCGCCCCCATCATCTGCCCACTGTTGCCCCGCTGCTGCTCCTGCACCCCTCTTAGCTGGATGTGGAAGCGCCATCTCTCCAGAACCGCAAGTTGTCGGAACCTTCCCTGGACGATCTAAAGTACATTTTGACTCGCTGGTCAAAAAGGTGCGATGGCGGAAGTCGCGTATCGATTATTTTCTTGTAATTTCTTAATGTATTATTTTGTATATGATATTATTATAAAATTGTATGTATAAATTAATATGATGTATTGTTTGGCTTTTATTTTGTTGGCTTTCCGTTTCCACGTCGATTGCTTCGTTTTAAGCATCTTGTTGTATCGTACAAGTTGCAAGTTACGGATTTTGATGCGTGAAGGCCCAAGTGGGGCCGTGTGCCTTTCCTGTTTGCCTTTTGCGTTGTCATTTATCGTGTTTTGAAGCGAGCTACTGCTGGCAGGCAGGTGAAATTTTTGGCAAGGTGAGGTCGGTCATCACGCAAAAATTCAAACGAACATACGAACATGCCAATATACAGCTTACAGCGCCAACACCGAACCGCCGTTACGCAGGATATTTCATTTTTTTCGGATCTTGGGAAAAATCAAAAATTTGCTATCTCACAATATAACAAAGCTTATGTAAATAATACAAAACAAATAAAAAATAGCAGCACAGCTGCTTACTTTACAGCGAAGCCGCAAACAATTAATCTATTAATTAAAGAAATCCAACCGGCAACCACCCAACTGCCCAACCGCCGCCCAACCGCGTTGCAGATGGTCCCAAGAGCGCAATGCCCCGATGGGCCCTATGGCGGTTGGTGCTAACGGTAGCAACGGTCTCCCGTGCCATCCCGTCGCCACGTCATCGTACGACCCGCAACAAGCGGAGCGCCCTGGCGGCTTGCCGCCTTCCATCAGCAATTCTGCCGACCTGTTTCGGTTCGGCTTTACTTCCGATGACCTGTATCGAATTGCGCGGGAACACCAAGTGCAGAAACAAAATCGGCAAAGTCAGCTACTGCAACAGGAGCAGCAGCAGCCGCAGCTTCAACAGGAAGATTCGGTTGGCGTCGGCACATTCAAGCGACCGTTGGCACAACTAAATCTGTTTGGACTGCCGTACGTCGGCAGCACGCCGCGGAGCAGCTTTGTGGATCATGCCGCCACTGCCACTGGCGGCGGCGGCGGCGGTGCCGGCGGTTCGCAGCCGGGTACGGCACATCGGAACGATCGAAGTGGCGGCGAAGGTTCCGTACGGCGTGGCAGCCACCGAGCGGGGCCCATTTGAAATCGGTTCGGGAGGAAAGGGCTCTAGGGGGGTTGAGGGGGCCGCGTTTTCCCATAGCGGTGGTGGAGGAGAGGTTCGGAGGAGGAGGAGGAGGGGGGTCATCTGTA